ATCTTATCAAGAAACAGAAATATTGAGAGCTTAGTTTCAGTCAATCAGTTCGAAGCGTCCGTGTTGGCAATTTTGACCATCTTGTCTACACTACTAATATATCCTCATATTATGATCTTCAGTCAATCAGTTCGAAGCTTCCGTGTTGGCAATTTTGACCATCTTGTCTACACTACTAATATATCCTCATATTATGATCTTCAAAGTATGTCATCCAAAATTTAAAAACTTGCGTCTATATCAATTATATTGGTCGTTTCTCCTATTACTCATGTGCGCTCTTTACAGGGGCATAACATGGTTTTCCCAGCATAATCACATCCTTACCTATGTGTCCTTACGCTTTGAGGTTGTGGAGTGTAACATCTTTCAAAGCCTTCCATAATTTTTCAAGGGTCAGTGCTGAATGTCGACCGAGCCAATGATTGAATCTGAGGAAAAATGAAAAAGAAATAAGATGAAGAAAGTTATTATGGGGTTTATATGTTCAAAGGGAGGGGGATGACTGCCCTCATGAAAATATGGCCCTTAAGCATTTTAAGGCCCAAAATTCACATATCTTTCTTGAATAATTTTGATTGATAAACTCTTCCTGCATTTAAATTCTTAAAAAATCTCAGTTTAACACTCAATAAATTTGGGCGCTTCCAGACAACATTTATATTATTATTTGAATACGTAATTGATACTTTTTTGTCAATTTATTTAAGGAATAAATTTAATGGCAACCCAATTTTTACGGTATTAAGTGGTTTGGGGCATTGTGACGTAGGTAACCTTACCTTACAAAAATTATTCGTATTTACGACTTTTTTTCTTTTTTTGTTCATGGTTGAGTTGATACCTATTGGAACTATAGTATGTTGCTGCCCTTTCCCAACATTGTAATTTCTCCAATAGGTAATGGAGTTAGCTGTGTTGAATTGCACATTTGAGATTTTTGTTATTCCTTTAATTTTATAAGGAAGAACAACTTGATCAGATGGTAATATTTCCACATGAGCTACCTGACAACCTTGTACACCGTTCCCACTGTCCAAAGCAATTTTCATGTCAGCCGCTGTTGTGATATTTCCGCCATTTTTCACATATCTTCTTAACTTTGCCCTCATGTGAGCGATCTTCGCATCACAATAAGATTTCCCGTTCTGTGTTTCGCTGAAATCGTATCTTTTTACTTCAATTCCTTAAAAAAAAAATTTAAAGAGCATCAAATTCCATCTTATCAAAATGTACTTACATGTACTAGCATGACTGAAAGTTACATGTGCTGACCCCAGGATCATGAAAGATCTTTTAAGCTTGTCAAAATCTTCATGCTGTATTTTGTGGAAGCCAATTAGCTCAAAATCAAATTATAGTTCAATATTGATTCACAGAAGTGTTGTTATTTACAAGTTTATAAATTCATTCAATAATTAATAAACATTTTAGTGATTCTAAATTTGACTTAAGTTGAAGTCTGTTTCTTGATCATGGGGCCTGGTCTCTTGAACATGAAACATAATTTAATTAAAGCCTCATTGTTTGATCTAATATTATATATAAAACAAGAGGCCCATGGGCCACATCACTCACCTGAGAAGCTTTGGCCATTCTGTTCTTTACCAGATTTCCCCCTTGTAATACATATTGTGACCCCATCCTATCCCATTGATCATAATTTAGACAATTTGAAATCTACACTACCCCAGGATGCTTCCACATAAGTTTTAGCTTTTCTGGCCCAGTGGTTCTTGAGAAAAAGATTTTTTAAAAAATTTCCTTTATATTTCTACTACCCCAGGATGCTTCCAGATAAGATTCAGCTTAACTGGCCCAGTGGTTCTTGAGAAGAAGATTTTTGAAGATTTTTCCTATATATTTCTATGTAAAACATAGATTCCCTATTGTGGCCCCGCCCAACCCCTAGGGGTCATGATTTGAACATTTTAGAATCTACACTACCCCAGGATGCTTCCAGATAAAATTCAGCTTAACTGGCCCAGTGGTTCTTGAGAAGAAGATTTTTGAAGATTTTTCCACAGATCTTTTTTTAACTTTTACTGGATAAGTCCATTAAAATCTAAATCTTAAATAAGAGATAAACAATAGGAAATGTAGAAATGTGATAAAGATTCTGTAAAAGTTTCTGTGATTATCTTGTAAACACTCTCATTTCAGGAAGTATCACTGTACATACTGCTTTTAGTAATACACATTACAAAACATGATTTTGCAGGCATTGTACAATCAGGCCTAGAAAAAAAATGTTTGTTTCCGCTTTCCCGACCGACCCTAATTTTTAGTGCCGACCCTAAATTTTTTTTAATGCTTTTGTCCCAGGAAGTGCAAGATTTCACCTAGGGAATTAGAGTCTCCAACTTTTTCAAAGTTTAAGTCACAGAAATGCTTGAAAACGCCATTTCTTTTGTCATTAATATTTCTTCTATACATGTTTTGATTAAGGCCTAAAGAAGCAAAAAAAAAATTTTCAAAAAAAAAAAAATTGCCTACCTACCTACCCCTATATTTTTTCAGCCTGAAAGCAGAAACAAACATATTTTTTTTTCTAGGCCTCATACAGAAATTTGATATTGTACAACAAATAAAATTTTTTACATATGCCATATCCATATAAAGCCAAACATCAAATATGAAATCAATATATTTAATAAGGAGCTGAGATCTTTCTGACCAAATTTAGACAGACAGATAGATAGACAAGGTGATTTCAATAAACTACCCACTCGCTGAGTGGGGTTTAATTTGAGAATGTTACCTGTATTTTGAGATATTCCTGGTAAGCAACACCACAAATTACTGCAATGATAACAACCTGCATTGTCGCTGCGCACAAAAGTTGTAGTGATTTCTGGCTGCTGTATCTTGAGTGTCAACAAAACATGTTGCAGCATACATGCTACACTGTACCATTCTTGCTTTGCAGTATCCATAACATGAACATAGGTGCTATGCTGAAAGGAAGCAAAGGATATATGATCAGGAAAATAAAAGTGGACAAACAGATGGACAGTCAGACAAACTAAGATAAACAAGAGATGTTTGTAAAACACTTATGCCCCCCTCCCCCCAAATTGAATTTTTCCAAGTCCAAGGGGCATAACTCTGTCAAAGATGGTGCGATAATACCCAAAACAGAACTCATCCTAGATATTTATTTGATATATCTGTATACCGAATTTCATTTCAATATGTACAACGGTTGCAAAGAAAATGAACGGAAACGGCTAATAATTGAATTTTTTCTTAAGTCCAAGGGGCATAACTCTGTCAAAGATGGTGCGATAATACCCAAAACAGAACTCATCCTAGATATTTATTTGATATATTTGTATACCAAATTTCATTTCAATATGTACAAAGGTTGCAAAGAAAATGAACGGAAACGGCAAATAATTGAATTTTTTCTAAGTCTAAGGGGCATAAGTCTGTCAAAAATGGTGCGATCGTACCCAAAACAGAACTCGACCTAGATATTTATTTGATATATCTGTATACCAAATTTCATTTCAATATGTACAACGGTTGCAAAGAAAATGAACGGAAACTGTAAAATACTTGAATTTTTCTAAGTCTAAGGGACATAACTCTGTCAAAAATGGTGGGATCGAACCCACAACAAAACTTGACCTAGATATTCATGTGGTATATCTGTATACCAAATTTCATTTCAGTATGACGGTTGCAAAGAAAATGAACAGAAACTGCAAATAATTGGAATTTTTCTAAGTCCAAGGGGCATAACTCTGTCAAAAATGGTGCGATCATACCCAAAACAAAACTCGACCTAGATATTCATGTGATATATCTGTATACCAAATTTCATTTCAGTATGTGCAACGGTTGCGAAGAAAATGAACGGAAACTAAGTGGACCGACGGACCGGCAGACAGCAGCAAAGCAATATGCCCTCCCTTCTTCGAAGCGGGGCATAAATATATATGTACCTTTAAATTATCTGCAGTATCTTTGAAAACACAAACAACTACATGCCAGTTAAGACCCTTCTGTGCGAACCATTCACTCTGTTTCTCTCTATACATTAAAGGTAGGAATTTCATGGCCCAATCCATTATCATGATGACCTCTCCTTCTTTTAAATTCTCCAAGAAATTTAATCTGCATGAATCTTGTGCAACTGCTCTTACAATATGACTTTTCCAGTCACTGATATTCTTTGTTGCCATGCTTATATCATAAATAAGCTCTTCCCTTTTCTCCACTTATAAATCTGTAAAAAGAAAATTGATTTTAGTAAAACAACAGAACTTCTCCATTGTAAAATATAGTTATCTTATAAATGTATAAAAAGCCTACTGAATTGCATGTTTTAGTAAAGCAGATATTACTTTGGATTACATATTATGATACTTTATCAGCAATTTATGATTGTTCTGGTTTCAAGTGCTTATGCTTGCTAAATTTTGACATTATTAATAGTTTCTTTTGTTTTAATTATGTCTCTTAGAATTTCCCAGAAAGATTATATGCCTTTTGCTGTGATTTTTTAAACAAGGAAGTATGGAATCCAGATAGGGCCAAGCAGTTCACTATTGCACCATCGAGCATCAACTTAAAGGTCAATGGCGCGATAATGCGATGGGCCAATAACGATGAAACGGTGGTGTGATAACGATGAAGCAATGATGAGATAGCGCGATGACGATGATGCTATGGCGTGATAATGCGATGATGATGGTGCGATAGCACGATTGAGTGATAGTGAATATTGCTTCATCGTCATCGTACTATCGCACCATCGTGTCATCACTATCACATCATCGCATTATTGCACCATCGTCATCGCATTGTCACGCCATAGCATCATCGTCATCGCGCTATCGCACCATCACTTAATCGTTATCGCACCATCACTTAATCGTTATCGCATTATCTCTTCATCGCACTATCGACCTAAACCTTAATAGTGCGATGATGTGCTAGTGAACTGCGTGGCCCTATCCAGATTCCATAAGAAAGCTATTGCACAATGAAAACTAAGCAAAACTGACCTCTGAAACAGTGTTACAAATGTGAATAAAATACGGTGAATATTTACCATTGTTTTCAGAAACCAGGGATCGCAAACTGGTTACAGCTTCATCCAAATCATTACATCTTTGACAAAGCACATCATGCTCATGGGTGCAGCTCTGACACAGGTTTAAGTTGGTACCATCACTTAAAGCATAAAATAGGTGATCTGCACAGGAGTTTTCTTTCTGAATATGAAGCTTGTACTCTGATTTGATATAAAGCTTACTGGACTGCAACTTTTCCTTACATTCCTTTAGTTCGTTGCTTTGATAGAGGTTGCTTTTCTCAATTTCCCCTATAATTCCAAGTAGGGTTTCAAATGCAGAATTTCCATCAGTAGCTATATTGTCAAGACCTTTCAAGTTAGTTCTTTTGGAGGCTGGACACTCACTCAGTATTTTATACAATGATGATTTGGACAGTGGTTCAAAATCAGTCTCTTCACAGTATGATAGATAGGTATCTACCAAAGTCGAATGGTAGGCAGTTCTCACTACATTTGGAATTGTAATAGATAACCCTGTACTCATTGTCATGTTTTTTGTTCCAAAAGCAGTAACCTACAAAGAAAACTAATTGTATTTTAAGTTCTGTTCATACAGTGAATACTTTTTCACACGAAACTTTTCATTCAGCACTGAAACAACATATAAATTCTTTGTAGGGTTAAGTTTGATATGACTACATACATGTTTGTTTAATCCTGAACAGTTGGGGCAAGTAGAGACATAATAATAATAGTCATACAGTTCAGAATTTCACAAAACAATTTGTATTTACCTGGTGAAATGTTGGATCAAAAAAGAAATCCAGGGCATGATCAAGCTTTTCCTTGCTCAACTTTTGTCTTTTAAATGGCTCTCCCTTTGTTATATTAGTTCCTGTAAGTAAATTATGAAAGGATCTTAGTGAATCTGACTTCTCTATTTACTTTAAAGAAATACTAGAGAAAAGAGTTCTAACTGAACCTGAGTCGCTTATCTTGAAATAATAAAGAACTTATTTCATTTAGTAATACAAGACGAATGTGAGTTATTAGGAACAGGCTAAAAATATGCATAAAATGAACTAGAACTGTCCAAACGGGACAAAATACCCCCCGCTGGGTTTTTTAGAAGTAAGTTTTTCCATAATAAAGATATGTATCAAACACGAATTATGAAATTTTTCTACCAGTGACCTTGAACTTTTCCAAATGATCTTGGGTCAAGGTCATGACACACCCTTGGGTCATGGGCAATCTTAGCGTGGAGTAGTAGATTCTAATGTCCCTCTGTAAGAAAGACATGGACCGGACACGATTGCACAGAGAGACGGACAGACAGACAGACAGACGGACAGACAGACAGACAGACAGACGGACAAGGTGATTCCTATATACCCCCCAAACTTCGTTTGCGGGGGGTATAAATATGATCTTTCATGGAAGATATAACCTAAACACCGGTTAAAAGGGTTTAATATACATCTTAACCTAATGCAAATTCGCTATAGTCATCAAGTTAAATAGGGCATCAAAGTTCATATTTTCATTATGGGTTTTTAAGTGTTAGTCTTTCAAAAACAAGTCAAGATAGAAATGGTACATGTGTGATCCAACTCTTTATGGTAGGTATAAAATAACAAATATATTTTGAACAGTGAACACCATACACCATACCTGGGCCAAATTGAGATGAATGCTTCCGGGCTTGATCAATAGCATGAACTGTCAAACCTGGTATCATTTGCTGTAGCTCTGACTTAATACCTAAGATAAAATAAAGACCCGAGATACTTAAATATAGCCATAACATGTTAAAATTAGGTCGCTGTGACCTACTTTTTGGTCGTGATTTCTGCATCAAGTGACAATGTTTGATAATTGTAAGCCAATAAGTACAAATAAGCCAAATGTCAAAAGTAGGTCACAATGACCTACTTTTTTGGTTGAAGTTCTCTAAAAACCCATGATTTATCTACTGACAAAGTTTGATGATTCTATACCAACACGTTCCCGAGATAAAGAAATATACCCATTAATTGTCAAAAATAGGTCACCCTGACTATCTCTCGGTCGACGAGAAAATGTAATTTAATAGAAACTTACATATCTTCTTTATGTCAGTTAGCTTCACAGAGCCACAAGTGTCATTATTTGCAAAAAGGTCTGACTCTGTATAATGGTGTCTTGATTAGAATACTAGATGAATCAAATTTAATTTATTAGTGTGAGTAATACATTCTCTTTTAATGAATAATAAACTGTGTATGACGAATTGAAATAAGCATGGCGAAACCAGCTTATACGTGTCGGACCCCCCCCCCCCCTAATTATTTTCCAAAAATAGACTTTGAGCATTGCTGCGAAGGTTTAGCCCTCCCCCCCAAACTTTATATATAAGAACGCATTGAGAGTTTCAGAGTCTGTTGAATGCAGAGCTGCAGCGGAGAAGCAGTCGGAGATATCGGTATGAAGAGAAAAGGTTAAGTAAAAGTAATAGGACATTGCACCAGTGGCAAGAATCCTGGGGAATTGAGGCGTGATACTTGGGGCTGTAGATCTGAATAAGCCTGAATAATACTGAAAATTTACCTATCCTAGATTTTGTTGTATTTAAATGGATTCAAGTCTAAATATTCGACTTAAATACCCTAAAGAGAGTAAAAATAGGTTAGTCAACAACATATAATCATTGTTTTGCATGGATTATTATAAATAGATGCACTTTGCTAGGCTAACGTATTAAAATTAAATATGACATATGCTTCACAGGTCAATCTCGGTCATTTAAAAAAAACTGTGGACTCAAACTTCGTAAAATTGTGTTATTTTTACTAAATAATATTTAAGAAAAAGATTAAGCTTTAAAAAATTATATGTTGACGGATTACTTTTCGTGGTATGAGCTCTACACTAAAGGTACCCCCCTAATTTCCTTATTCCAGAAGTAATATATTGCCACATTTTCCTGTAATACTCTTAATGTTTGAGTGTATATTTGTATTGACAAAGTTGTTCATATTTAAAACAATAATTATACACACCTAATACCTATTTTCACTAAAGTTTATCTTGTTTTTAAAAAAAATTAAAAACACACTTCTCTGTAAATTGGAGACAATGAAAATGAAAGTGATTGACCGATTCTTACATACTGGATAATTTTGTTACAGAAAGTAAGTACTGTATGCTGCAAGCGAATCAACTTTTGTCATATACTTATAATCAAAAGATAATTTTGCATTAATTCGCAGGTAAGCAGGTTCAGGGGGGGGGGAGATATACGTCTTATACAAAATTATTATTCAAAGTTAAATTTGTAATGTTTGATCAGTAAAACTTATAAATTGTTTAAGTCAAATCGTAGTCATTACTTTTTTTCCGAATTATCACTATTAGCTTCATTTTGGCCGCCGACAATAGTCGCGAGAGTTTAATACAAATCATACATGTTCTGATGTAGCAAGTTCGTGGTCCGTGTTATCGGCGCGGCATATAGCACATGCATCACTCACAGAAATATTGTTTTATTACCTTATTATTTATGTCAACCCAAAGTTTTTTCCAGCCTTCTCTTTCTAATTAATTTATCCTTAAAATTGTAGAATCGGTGTTTGTACGTTTGTTGGGGCAAAATCGTTACCGGATATTGAAAACGCTAAGTAAAAGTCAAACCAATATAGTTAAAAAACTCACAACTCGGAAAAAGGAAGCGCGGTTCCGGTTCTTCTATTCGTAAATGACGTAGTACGAGTATAGACCTACTTTAATAGAATAACCCAGATAGGTTAAAGGAAAAATTATCATATTGTAAATAGTTAATTTCACAAGAGACCGACGGGCCTTCTAGGTCACCTGATTATTGTGAAACAACTTTCAAACAATTAAATTTGGTTCGTGTTATAAACCAGAGGCCACGAAATTCACAATTTTTCACAATCAGTTAAGGGGCTGAGAAAAATGTCCATATTTCTTGGATTATAACGGTTTAAAATCTTTTCACCATCGTCCAAGTTGAAATTCATGCATGGCATGTGTACCTTTGGATCCTCCAAGTTATTGTTGTCTATCGGGCTGTTCTAAAACTGTGTCATTCATTTCGCTCCCTTGGCTACTAATATTATCACATGCATGAACTTGTGCATCATCAGCAATTGATGAATCTTGAATTTCAATTACGTTCTGTGTCATCTGAATGAGGAAGGCAAAGAATTTGTCCTTAAATTGAACTCATTTTGCGCCTTGAGTTCTGTAGATTGGTACGACGGTTTTAATTTCGCTATGTTCGCGTGATATCATGGAAATAAAACCTATCGTGAATGTTATTATTAATGAGAACAAGGCAGGGTTCACCATGAGCCATTTAACGTGGCGGCTTTAAATTGTCAGAATATATACTTAAATCAATAAAGCAAATATATAAATGAACATCAACACAGTAAATAGTGCAAGTAAATAACTTTTTTTTTAATTCGGCAAGGTTGTAGAAACTCCATAGCGGGCCTTCATCCTCCAATTAGTCCACCAAATAGAAAAGGAATGGGCGTTTGATGCAAAAGAACTCAATTAAACACTTGTATTATGAGAATGGAATCCATCATGTATACTGCTTCAAGTCATCAGATGAAATTTCTTGGAGGAAGTGTATCTAGAATATAATAAAAGTGGAAAGTGGTGGAAGGCCCTGACAAGCAGGGTGAACTTCTTAAGTACCGCTACTTTGTAGTTGGCCAGATCCATCACTGTCCGCAGCAGTCTGGGAACACAGCTAAGGAGGCTTTACTGACAACAACCGTCTACCGGATGTAAACTTCATTATTCTTCAGTGGATGCTGAACACTTCGTTCTTAAGAGTTTTGTCAAACCACCTGAACATTTTAACAACACCCATCATTACACATTGTATGTAATCAACATATATCTATCAGGATCGTTTTTAATTTGTTCTTAACTAGAGCAAATTATGTTTAATAAAATGTACACGTAGTTAGTGTTCAGAACACCAGCACTTCAAGGGTCAGGAAGACGACCAGCTTCTCGAATACATTTAAATGACAAAAAATTTTTACATACACGTTATTATACTCGTTATAAGGTGTGTTGGCCAGGGAATCCACCTGACAATTGTATTCACCGATAGTAATAGAATGTACACACAGTAAATTTCTTTGGAGCTTCAGTCTTCATATCGCATGTTCCCAGCACTTTAATTTTCCCTAACACTATATGGAACCGATTTTCCTTGCACTTTTCCTTTGTGTAAGGCTGGTTTCCTGATCATTCATAATCTGTCTCATTTAGAATGTTCACGGATGATCCACTGTCAGCTAACAGTTTCAGATTTTTAAGAGGCCAGTCTCCTCAGCCAAGTCCCGGTCAGACCTTGTTTTACTGTTTTTCATGAGTCCGGTCTCCTTAGTCCTGTCTGTCCGTAACTCTGTCCTAGCATCACTCATCCTCCAGTACTTTCTTCAATGCATCTACAAAAGACAACGTTTATAATAAATATTGACGCATACAACTGATGCACAGTCAAGCTTAGATCATTAGGGCACGTGTTTCCAAATGAATCATCTTGATAAAATGGTGTATTAATCATGTATATGAAAATTTACCTCAAATTACTTATAGATAGAAATGTTATGTTCCCAACAGAGCTCATCATGGAGGTTCAGCATTCTAATCCCCACTGCTCAACTGTATATGTGGAGTGTGGATTCTTACAATACTGCACAGAGTATTCATAGCTCAGAACAAGAGGCCCACGGGCCTTATAGGTCACCTGAGTATTGTGTAACAACTTTCAAACAATTGAATTTGGTTCGTGTTTTAAACCAGAGGCCATGAAAGTCATTTTGTCATAAAATGGTTGATTAATACCAAAGAGAAGATTTCAAAGCATTAATTTATTTTCAGACTATGTAACCCCCCTTCCCCCTCTGACCCTGGGGGCATAAAAAACACTTTGCTAGATGCACCTTTCTTCATTATAAATATATATATATACTTGGATCATTGGCATAAAACCCAGAAGCAAAGGAAAATATTTTCAAAGAATTAATATATTTTAACTATATAATCAATAGAGCCCCTCCCTAACACCAGAACCCCTAACCCTGGCGCCATAAAATTCACAAATCTGGAAGAGGCACTCTTGCTCATCATAACTACATGTATGTTCTTAGTTAGTTTATTTAATACCCAGAAGCAGAGAAGATTTTCAAGGAATAAATGCATTTTCACTATATAATCTATAGAGCCCCGCCCTAACACCAGAACCCCTGACCCTGGGGCCATAAAATTCACAAATCTGGAAGAGGCACTCTTGCTCATCATAACTATGTGTTTAGTTAATTTATTTAATACCAAGGAGCAGAGAAGAAGATTTTTCAAAGAAATAATGCATGTTCACTATATAGTCTAAAATAGAGACCCGCCCTAACATCAGAACCCCTGACCCTGGGGCCATAAAATTCACAAATCTGGAAGAGGCACTCTTGCTCATCATAACTATGTGTTTAGTTAGTTTATTTAATACCCAGAGCAGAGAAGAAGATTTTCAAAGAAATAATGCATTTTCACTATATAATCTATAGAGCCCCTCCCTAACACCAGAACCCCTGACCCTGGGGCCATAAAATTCACAAATCTGGAAGAGGCACTCTTGCACATCATAACTATGTTCTTAGTTAGTTTACTTAATACCCAGAGGCAGAGAAGAAGATTTTAAAGGAATAAATGCATTTTCACT